TTTATTATATTAACGTCTCTGCATCTTCAGCTACGCTTGACTTTAATGAACAAGTTCGAAGCCTTCGCTGCATTGTTACTAGGGCTCAGTACTTGATCGATTGATCTACGGATTGATCGATTAATGCTTTAAAGCGACTAATTGTTTTACCGGTTACCGGTTCACACAAAGACAAACTTTATGTGAAATTTGACCTAAAAGTAACTGTAGGTGCGAGATTCAACTCCACACACGTGTGAAAGGTTATACGTGTCCCAGCCAGTTGAACGCCGTGTCAGTGCCCGTTTAGCGCGGCAAAGACTATAGTGAACAATCAAAAGAGTTCGCTATTGCCGGAAAATGTCAACCAACCTCTTTACCTTTGAGGCTGAAATAATACTTTGTGAGTGTGGGTGTCTTCTGCATGCCAGAAACTACAAACCAAGGGTGATATAAAATCCGAAATTGTACATTGCGCCGTCCTTTTATCACAAATCTAGCAAAGGCAAAACCAAAATGTAATTTTGACTTTTTTTTTACAACTATCATACATGAGAATAAACGAAACCGATTAATCGACTAATTAATCTTCTAAAGGGTGGTGATTGATTCGGTTAGACATTTTAATCTTCGTCTAGCCCTAATTCCTGTGTTATTGGGAGGGACGAGATTAATACGATTTTGCGTGAGAAGCAGCAGCACCCACAGAAATTATCGTCAGCTGTTTGGTTTACAAAAACAATTGCTAAACTTCCGAGCTTGTTGTTATCGTTCATCGACCAATAAGCTTGTGGCATTAACAAATAAGAACGCAGAGGACCGAGTCACAATGAAAGAAATGTGAGCACATACAAAAACTTGAGGGGCGCTTAAGCGTATCCTTTAAGAGTGGAACGTGATAGCGAAACGTTTTATTATAATATACTTTTCGTTCCCAAGCCGTGCAAGCCTGCCGTCTGTGGGTTGTTCGAAATTACCGCGCGAGGTCATGTGGCCGCGACGTCATCATTCTATCGACCAATCCTGGATTTTAGCGCACGCCACCGACGCCGGCTTTTCTGTGACACTAGCTCTTTAACGCTGCGGCGCTAATAAGCCATGCTCTGTGTAGCTCCATCTGACAGTGACCATAAAAAATGGCAAAAACGTACCTTCCGCTCTAAAACAGAAAAATCTGCGTCTGCACATAGAAACCTCAAACTTTTACCGGGTGTACACTGAACTGCTGAGTATTACCGCGTGAAGTTTAAAGGCATATTTTTATTCCTGTAAAAAAAAAAAATGAGTGCACCAAACTTGCCTAGGCCAGCGTTGGGTGCGTTGGCAGACGACCGAGTTAGCGATGCTATTTCCTTGTAGTGCCATCTCCCGATAGGTGCAGCGATCACAGAATAGAATGCGTCGTCTGCTTGTTGCGCCTATCTAGACATGGCGCCACAAGTGAATAGCGTCGCTAACTCGGTCGTCTGTGAACGCGCCCAACGTTGACTTTGGCAAGATTGGTGCTCAAGTGTTGTTGTTTTTGTTCTGTTTTTTTTTTTTTTTTTGCGGGAAAAGATCTAAGTTTTGAAATTTAACGGGTTAAAACACTTAGTGCACATTCGGTGAAAGTTTCAGCTTATTATGTGCAGGTGCCGATATTTTCAGCTCGTTTTACTGAGGAAAGTCCGCTTGTGACGCCCTATAGAAAGGAAACGCTTTTGAACCGAACAAATAAAACACTAATACAAAACAAAAAGAACGGAAGAAAGATATTTAAAAGTATGTTCTACGTTATGTGACGTAAAGGAAAAGAACCTAAAGGGAGGACCTCCGCGAAGCCTCGCAAAGGAGGGATGTCCTGAAGGTCGAAAGTCATTACCAAGACCTTGGCTGTAGATGGAAGGTACGGAGTGCTACAATGGCACACTTTCACACGTTACTGAAATGAACTAAATACCGTTTTGCGTTACTAAATCAAAAAGTAACTAAGAACGTTAAAAACACTTGACTAAGGAACGCAATTAGTGCACGAAAATGCAGTGGCGCCGTCATTTTTTGCCTGGTTGCAGTAACTGGACCCACGCAGCCTCCGAGTTTTTCCCCTTGAATAGGGAGGGGTGACTGCCGCCATCTATCGTCGTGAACGCGCTTCAGCACGATAGATGCTTTCTTTGTGAGGTCCTCGGTTTGATGGTGGCTGCCCTCTCCTTCGACAAAGCAAAGAAGCGCGACATCGTGGACAGAGCGACGCGCATTCGTGCTCTCGGGCGCCGGGTTTTCGCATTGCTAGAGGGAAAAGGCGGAGGGCGGGAGAAAGAGGCGTCTTACTTGCGCGAAAGTATCTCGTACGTAAATCAATCTATACCCGTATATACATGAAGGACCACTGTTGGAGAAGTTCGGCTCCTCGAGAAACGTTACTAATTATCGCTTCGGGTGTTGAATTCAGGTAAATTTAGGTTCATCTTAGACGAGCTCCACGTTGTTTCGTCAAGGTGTATATGTTTCAAATGTCAAAAGCTTTGTTTCCTCCTTGGGCAACTAGATCTTTTAAAGAACTACCTCTCAGAGTGCATAAATATAGCGCAAACGTAATTTCTTTTTTTTTTTTTTGTGTGTGTGTGTGTGTGTGACAAGGAGTTAGAAACAAGAATCATCCGTGTGCGCGCTGGGAAGCAAACCATTTTATTCACTAAAAAGGTGATTGAATGCAGCCAATTTTAATTGCATCAAAACCAACAGAGAAAGTAAAGGACCTCAATGATCTCTGCGGAGAGCTAGTCGTCTGCTTCTCGGGGGGAGTTCCGGTGACGTCAGAATGACACCGAGCTCTGGTTGGCTTTGATTAAAAAGATAGTGGGTAGAGCTCAATGCTAGATGCTTTGAGGTCTACCCACGTTTTTTTTTTTTTTTTTTTTTTATAATCAGCCAATAAGAGCCCGGCGTTCTGACATCATCGCAACCCCTGCTCATGACGCAGACAAACTTGCGCCCCGCATAGACTTCGCTTCCCCGTGCTTCTTAAAAATGACAGCAATATACAAACACGAACAAACATGCTATGGCGTCTGATATGCGTCTCCGACTGGTTTCCGTGCCGCGTCTTTAAAAAGTTTTTTTTTATTAAATTTTCGCTTGATGACGTCCTAAAAATATCATGCCGTTTTCCTGCCGTGATCCCGGTGGTAGCGCAGCAGCGAAGGTAGATGGCGGCCAACCCCTGTTCCGCTCTAGGTCGAAACCGTGCAGTCGACGAAAACCAAAACATGACACCAGATACGACGCCGTGACGATAGCGATCCCTCGCGTCCGTTCGAAGTTTTTGAGTTTTTTTTCGCTAGCATTTCTGCGATTATAGGCTGTTTAACATGCGGCGATTCTCGTCCGAAATCGGTGCGATTTCCAGTACATGTGCGATTAAAATCGCAGTCGCACTGTCGCAGCGGCTCTCTGACTGGTTTCCACCAGGTTGGTAGTTTGTCGCAGAGTCGGTGCGGTCACTTCATTGTCGACCAGCCGTTCATTAACCAGCTTTCATCCAGAACAGTTGCGTAATCGAAAAAAATATTTACACACCTTAAAACATTTGTTTTTATATTTAATTATTAACAATATATAGTTACATGTTGTATTCGCAAAAAACATTTGTGTTTATTAAGACGTTTTTGTTGCATTTTAGGCAAAGTCAAAGGCGTCGCGTCCGTGTCCGAAGAGCCGTGCGTGCCGACAGAAATCTCGTGGTTGTTGGAGCATGAGAAACCAAACATTGCGATCACACTCGCTGCGTCGACTGTCGCACCGACTTTTTTTCGCACAGTCGCTGCATGCGAAACAGGCTGAAGCCTGCTTCACATGCAGCGACTGTTGCGAACAAAATCGGTTCGACAGCCGACGAACAGAAACGTGACAATCGCCCTGACGTTATTCTTTTTGGGCAAGTTTATTTATACCAAAAAAAAAAAAGTCAAATTTGGGGGTTTTACGTGCCAAACCTACGACGGGCATCTGGCACGCCGCAGCGGAGGACTGAGGATTGATTTCGACCACCTGGGGATCTTTTGACGTGCAACCGAAAGCTCGGTCACACGGCGCCTTCTCCGCAATAAGCCTCCGTCATATTGCGGGCACCTCGGTCGGGGTTCGAACCCGCCACCTGGGGATCCGTAGGCCGGCGCTCTCGCCTCGGAGCCACGGAGGCGGCTACATATTTATACCCCATCAGCTCGTAGCGTACACACTCATCTCCGGTTTTAAAATGCAACGAACAATAAACCCCGTTCAAAATTCACGTGCCTATTATTAAAAGGTCGGAACCATTGCAGACTGGCGGAACAACTGCATCGAGGAACGCGCAAGTCACTCCATTAGATAGCTAACGTCGGAGCGCGGCCAACATTACGAGCCGAGGAGCCAATCAAACAGAGTCCAAAGTGCAACGGCACTGCGCTCACCACTTTTTTTTTTTTTTTGTGGGTGTTCTTTTTTCAGTGTGCAGTGACGTTGAGGTTTAAGTCAACGTTATTAGATTAGCTCAGTTACGGAAATGCTCATAGACGCTGCAAGCACGAACAGTACACCCCCCCCCCCCCCCCCCTCATTCACCACGACTCGCCTGGCGTCACTCGAACCGCCGCCGGACGGCGGCTTTGGTAACTGCAAAGTATTCTATGGGAATCGGGATACGCACGTTTCGAAGCACGGTTTCTAGATGGCGCTTCAGCTCTGCTGTTTGGAACGCACAGTTATGAAACGAAAATCTAGATGGCGCTCCGAACGACGGCAGGCGGATTGAAGTAAGTGAGGGGGGTACCCCCTTCCGCTTGAGTTCCACAACTGAGGTAATCTAGTAACGTTGGTTTCAGTCCGCCATTGTGCAGGGATTCGACAGCTGCCAACAGGGGGCAGTATTTCGAAAAGGGTCTATAGTTCAATGAGGTTCGCCACAACCTCAACGACCTGAAAACTTTCTAAAAAAAAGTACAGACTTCCACGTTGTTCGCTCAGCTGTGCGACTATAATACTAATAAAAATATATGATGTCATTGCCAAGGTGCCCACAATCCTTGGTTGTTCTTGGGAAAACCTTTGGGGTCGAACCCTTCATTTGCCGGGGGAAGCATTGTTGCTTCGTAGGCTTTAAGCTTCTTCATTAGCTCTTCAAGTCCCTGCAAAAAAAACAATAGCACGAATGAATATACTGATCGTCCGTATTTCTAGAAAAGTCGACACGATAGCGTGTACTAACTTTAACTTAATTCGCGGAAGAGGGTTGCTCGTTACGTGGCTAGAAAAGAAGAACATCTTATGTCCTTTTGGTTTATAGTCTTGTGAGGGCAGTGCTTTCCAAATTCTGCTATTTTGTAGCCCGTAAAGAAATACAAAAAGTAACGTCGCCCTCGCACCCGTCCCACAGTCGTCTCCAGTCCCGTTCTCCTGCGTTTCGCGGAGCCACAAGTTTTCGGTATCACTGATGAACAATTATAAACAACATTGATGCTGAAAATTTATTTGGCAGTTAAGATACTCGGAATAATAGGGCTGGGTGAGAAACAGTGTTATACGAAACGGCGCTCCAAGGAACGGCGTTGCTGGAACATGTTCCTTTTAGGAGGAACAAAGAAACGCCACCGTTACATTTGGCATCGGTGCAACTGAAAGGAAATGGCAGTTTGAACGGCGTTTCTTTTTTTCGCTCTATATATCTACAATCTTATCCGAAATTAGGTGGCCTTTAGGCTTCTTTTTTTTATTGTCGACTTTCAACCTCCGGCACCGAAAACCACATAAGTGAGGCTTGAATTATAACCATGAAACGATATCGGGCTGTAATGATCATGGCTTTGAAGAGACGTTTTGGTCCTGGTCTGGCCCAAGTATACTCGCACAGGGCGCAACTGTTTTGGAAGCTTCTTTGTCACGGCGTAATTGCGAGGATAAAAGGGGACTTTTTCTTTCGATCTTCTCTGCGCAAAGCTTGATGTCGTAATTGTGGGATCGAAACTATTCACCTGACGACAGTCGAGCGTGACTGATAGATAGGACAGAAGAACAGCGTGAGCACTCGACTTCGGTTCGTAACATTCAATGCCTCCACTAACACCTCGGGTAATGGCTCGTGCCCAACCACTGTGGTGATGAAAATAGCCGAACTCTAACAATGCCTGAAGCTCAGCACGCGTTTCCTACTTTGCACACCCCCGGCGCGTGGGTATGACTAACGTTGGTGGCATAGAATAGGAACCAGTCCACGCGACCGCTTGTTCTGGTTCCGAGCTGAGGGGATGGACGATGCTCATATTTCTCGAATTGTAATGACGGCTTCTATTTCTTAAAAATAAAAACTAGGGAAGTTTATTCAGTTATTAACGTTAGGGAGTGATTCTAAGTGGTATTCAGCAAAGGTAGAAATTTATGCAAAAAAATTTTGATTTTGAGAAAATGTCATATTTACATCCACCAGCACCTAGAGAGCATTCCCAGAAAGTGTCATTAGTTTACACTGCATAGTTAATTTTTTTTATAAATTATTTTCGGTCCACCGATGCTAAAAAAAAAATGCAGAGGTTAAAGCAATTTGAACGCATATTTCTCCATTCCACTTTTTGGCATTAATTTTTCATTAGGAAAACTATCGTTTTGTTATTACGTAACTTGGATTTATTTTTATGAGTTTTTCTGGTGTGGAATTTTAAGGAGAAGATACCCCTTAAAATTTTAAAATTTTAAGGGAAGATAAATAAAAAATACACGCTATCAGCTTGTATTTTTTTATTTTTGTCATTTATGCTAACAAACTAAAATGTTGGACAAAGGATGGAAATCTTTAAAAAAAACAGTATTTGAGTTTATGTGGCTTTTTGTCGTAAAAGCTGGCATAATATAGAAATATAGCTTCATAGCTATCTGCTCTGAACTGTCCTAAACCAATATAACTCGTGAAAACGACTAATTTATGAGGAATTTTGAAACGATATAGCTTCCAACGAAGTCACACCCACTTCCATTTTTGAACATTTCCAATGTTTTTGGTACTTCACCCATGTCACCGAAATTAGGCACAAACATTCTCAACATGAACAAACACAAGCCCTGTAAATATCATTTAAATCAAACAAGCGGTTCATACGTTCACTGTGTTGACAAGTGTCCCCCTTAAAGACTTTGGCAGAACCCAGGGATCATCGGTTCAAATCCCGTCCCCTTGCCGTTTCGATCTGGATGAGCGTCGTACCGGCGCGTGGTCGTGTGTCACTACTGCCTGACGCAAGTTACACCCCATGCTAACACTGGCCACTGCAGGGGCTAAATTTCTCGCACACAGTAAGGACACCACACGCCCATCGGGGCGCACTAAAAACCCACCCTCTGAACAAAAGCGCACAAAAAAAAAGTACTTGGGGCTATGGTACTTCTTTTGACCTTCTTCTTTCCTTTGATTTATAATTAAATACTTACCGTCACGTTCGTAGGTGCCAAGTTGTCTAGCTCACAGGGATCCTGTTTGACGTCGAAGTAGTAGAGAGAAACATTGTCCGCAAAATTGTTCCTGGGGTTGTAATAAGAGCAGTTCACGGCCACCTCTTGACGCCAGTTGGGCCTAACCGGAACTTGCTGAACCTTGTAAAAGTCCTTCAGAACTGCTGCGGTCCGAGAGTTGAGCATCATTTGGTCCAGACCGTCAACGGGTCGCGTGCCTCCTGGGACAGGCGTGCGCAGACTGTACAATCCGCCAGCAGTGTCTCCAAGGATGACCTTGCGATTCTCAAAAATCAACGCCGAATAATTATAAATTGGATCGATGTTCAGAAGTATTTCATGCCGCGGAGAGGCAAGGTTTTTGGAGAGGGCATCCCACATGTCCTTGCCGTCAATGTCACCGAGTCTTGAAAGGTTTCCTCCTGTACCAGGGAAAGATCAAGCAATGTCACGATTTCTGGGACGCACGCATGACTTATAACGAGGGTGTTCTACGTAATTTTAGCCAAGCTTTAAAAATATTTTGGTGTGTTTTAAGAACACAAAACCAAAGGAAAAAGTATATTCATTGTTTGGAGGAAGTCAGGTTATTTTTTGTATTTGTTCCAATAAGCTAATAATTTAGATTATTTAATTAACTTTTGAAATATTTAGTTTCGACCAAAAGTTCCAATGACAAAATGCAAGACTTTAGAGCGTCCTCAGAAACATCCGATTCAGTGGTTTCTATCGAAAAACCTCTAACACAGTTCGTTTTTCTGGGCTTCAAAAAAAGCACGCGAATGACAAAAAAAAAAAAAAAAACACGTGACTTTGCGCTTGCGCGTCTTGTATTGCAGCGCTCTCAGCCGTGGCTTGAATTAACTAGGCCCGCGTGCTGAATAGAACACTGTTCACAGGGCGCTAATGACAAAGCCGCGTTTTTTCGTTTTTTTTTTTTTTTTCCTTCATAATTTGCTCGCTTTTTTTAAAGCCGTGAAAAACGAACCGTGTTAGAGGTTTCTTGATAAAATTCACTGAATTGGATGTTTCTGAGGACGCCTTACAACTTTGTCGTTGAAACTTTTGCTCTAAATTCAATATATCGAAAGTTTATAAATTGATCTTAATTAATAACTTAAATGTGAAAACTACAAAAAATATCTTGACTTGCTCCAAAGAATGAATAAATTAATTTCTTTCGTTGTGTCTTCCTGAAATTACCCAAAATACTTTTAAACCTTGGCGAAGTTTACGTGAAACACCCTGTATAAAAGATGATTTTCTTTTTTTTTTTGGGGGGGGGGGGACGTTTTAGAAAATATTGGTGGAGTAATTATGCCAACAGGCCTATTTCGGTACCCTGATTGGAGCGTTTTCATGGACGTCCCCTCGCCTGGTTTACGAAGCGAGAGATGGCAGGGAGGGGGGGGGGGGGGGGGGGGTGGAGAGGTTCGGGTCCCACATTTCAGTAAGTCACAAGCTAGCCTTTTGGCGGCCCATAGATTTTCTTAAGCGATAAACGTAAGAAACGTCGAGAATGGAAAAGCTGTTACCGCGTGAATCACTCAAGCGTGTTTCCCTAAGCCTTCCCCTCCCATGGTAAACCAGGGAATGTGCTGTTCATGGAAGGGTGCCAGTCAAAGTGTCGAAGTTGTACTGCTCACTTAGTCCACAAGCTGCTTCCGGGGTGCCCGAGCACATAAACATTTTTTTTTGCAGGACTATATGTATATATATATATATCATTTGTCCCTTTAATTTTCACGAACAAAAAAAGGCGCATCCGAGAAAATTAAGTTTCGGTTTCGTGCTAACAAAATGCAATCCAAGCGTAGAAACTATGATATAATCTTTTTTTTTTTTTTTAATTCTGCAGGACGGTTATGCTTAAGCGAACGGGACCCGATAGCGCGATAGCATCATAGGGTCCCATTCGCATCGCCTTCTCATTCGCTTCTCATGCTCTTCCTGACAGTGAGGAGGAAGTGCAAACGCATAACTGAAGGGTCGTAGGTTCAAATCCCGCCTACGATACGATTTTTTTTTTTTTTTTAAGGCTAGTGAATTATTTGACGAAGTGAAATCCTTTGAGACGTGCGGCGACCTTCAATTCGCATTACATGTTATGTGGTTTAATCACTTTCATTCCACGCGTGACGCTACGTTTCACGCGAGCGTTCAGGGTTGTTTGAAATTCCCGCGCAAGGTCATATGATTGTGACGTCATGAGCCGACCGACCAATCAGAATTTTCCCGTCAGGCCACCGACATTGGCTTTTCTGCGACACGAGCTTCTTCACGATGTCGCGTTAAACACAAGTTGTATGAAAAGCGAACTTAAAGGCCGACACCAGACTCGATACTCTGCAAGGCAGAAGATCCTCCTCACCATAGGGGAGGAGGAAAGAGCCAACGGTAGACAGGGTAGAAGGGGGAGAGGAGGAAGCGGGGGAAAAGTGGAAAGCGCGAACTGGTCGTCGGCCTTTAAGCAAACTTGTTCGTTGTAGAACCGCTCCTCGAACACCTAAAGCACTTCTTTTTTCTTACCTTTTTTTGGGGTCCGAGAACTATTTTTTGTGGAGCTGAATGCTTCTTTAGGTCTTTAATGCTGTATCGTAATAAATTCTTTATTATAATTATTTGTGTATTTATTATTATCTTTCCCCTTCGTAAGCAAAGCAAGACCGCCAAAGGGCCCTTTACAAAAGAAATAGTTATGCAGTTAGCAACAAAACGCGAATCAACAAACATTGTTTCAAACATAGCGTGTGTTTAGTCCGTTGTACTTGAGCTTTATCTATAAAAGTTTAGTTCTATTCTTTCCGAATTTTACTTTTATGTTGTGTGCCTACTACTAAGGCCCACGGCTGTTTGTGTTCCCAGTAAACATAGCGATAAACAATACAATGGACAAAGTGTCTCAATACATATGTTGATGGTGGCGATAAGTGTAAGTCTATAATTTTCTGTTCTTAATTACCTTTGTTGCACACCTACCTCCATTTGATGCTCATGTTGTGACTGTGCGAAAAGAACATCTCAAGAGAAAGGCGCAAAACCCCGCTTCAGCGGGGACAATCAAGTGGAGTTTTGAGTGCTGATACTTAGCGTAACTTAACTATCTACATGAAAGAAAACAATTATATTAGAATTTTGAGGAGGTTTTCACACCTAAGAATAAATAAAGTAAATGTTCAATAGAAGTGGAGAAGTGCATATAACAAAAACTTTGCATATAAGGACAGTGTGGTTAAAGGAGCAAATTCAGTCTACTTGCAAGACAAACTAGCACAATTCTTCGAGAAAAAAAGTAATTTTTGTCTTATTAATTAGGGCGGTCAAAGCCCGCAAATACAGAACGATGTGTAATAAACTTCGTATATTTTTGCCCCCAGTCTGGATGTCTTGGTCCTAAATTGACAAACACTTTCCAGACTTAGCTTTCACTGCCTGGACGTTTAGTGTATTTTGCGTCTTCGGTGATGAACAGAAGAAAAGCCAGACTGGCATTCTTTTATCTAGCACAAGACCAAGGCAAAGCAATTTCACCCTAACTATTGGCCTTGAAGTAAAACCCTATTAGGTCCAAGTTAAACCCAAACGGTTTCCGATTTTGATCCAACATTAAATGTTCATTTGTCGTGCTGCTGGTGTATATTTGCCCCTTTTTTTGCGCTATTTTGCCCGGAGAGATTTTTCCGAAAAATAGCTGGTGCGATTCATCGTCGGCTAGACGCATTTTAACATTACCATGTATGGCATATGAGATAATCCAGGAATCGAAGACGAAGTTGACGTCCGTTTATCATTCCGTGATATGAGAAGGCAGAGAAGGCAGAGGAAAAAGAAAACACAGTATTGACTTTTTTTGTGCTTGTTTTATTGTGTTTTTTTTTTTTTTTTCGTGCGCTTTGAGTTCCTATTGATAATAAAGGATCAATCGTGCCGCTCCCAGGGTACGCGAAATGTTCGAGTCAGGCACGACATATATCGGAACAGTCCCACAATTCCCCTCACCGCGAGATCTCCTGGGATATTCCAGAAGGGTCTATTAGTGAAGTTGCTTGGTGATCTCATGCACATGGTGAGAAAAGGTACTCAAATTTATACATGACTTGTACTGACGTCATTTGGTGAGATATAATGGGGGAAAAGGCGTGTGAGAGGGGGACTTCCGTCGCGTTATCGAGACACTTCCGCCCGCCAGAAAAGGTACGGAGTGACGTCAGGTGAAATCCATGTATATGATGAACTTACCCGCCGCAGTGTAGAAAGTTGGCAACCAGTCGCTGATGTGCATCATTTGGTCAGAGAGGCGACCGACTCTCGACAGCAGCGGGCTCCAGACAAAGGCCGCCCCCCTCACACCTCCTTCCCACAAGGTAGACTTGCCCCCGCGCAGGGGCCAGTTGGAACCAGCGTTCGCTCCTGGACCCAAGGGGCGGGCTCCGTTGTCGGAGCTGAAGACGACGACGCTGTTCTCGAGCATTCCTCTTCTGTGAAGCGACTCCATCACCATTCCGACCGACTGGTCCAGCTCGTAGACAGCACCTAAAATAACCGCCATCTTTCACAGCATCGAATGCTTTCACGGCGACAGCCGTTAAACAGAGATTTAGTAGATAATTCCGATTCTTCCGATAAGATTACCCGACAATGATAGGATGCATACGTAACGGCGTCGGCAGTTTATCGCGGATATCGTTTTTAGAGTCCTCGAAACGGTCCACTAAAACACTCTCTTGGCGAGGTATCGCAGTGGATCCCGTATGTGTTTCGTGTAGGGCCGTGACGTCACGTGACGTTACAATGTCACGTGTAGTACTCATTGTGACGTTGCATGACGTCTCGTCACGTTTCATCGGGTTGTTGTGTGGTGTAACAGTGTCACATGACTTTGCGGTGTCGCATGTCGTCAGTCACTTGACTGGGTCGTCCGTGTCGTCAGTCACTGGAACGAGTCGTCACTGGACTCGTTCACACTTGTACACACTCGCAGCCATTTCATAATCTGTGTGCGGGTGAAAGGTTGAAGCGTCCAGTCAGCATCCGGGAGAGATAAACATGGTGACTTTACCAGAGGATTGAAAAAAATCGTCCCCGTCGTATTCGTTTGGGAAAGCTCTCGGGTCTCAACGATCTCACTCATCAGGGTTAAAATTTGATCCACCTGTATGCGATGACCAAAATTAAAAGTCCCACAAAACGTATTGCTGGTTATTCCAACGAACTAGTTTTTAGTCGTATCCTTTGAGAGCCGCCGCGAAGCATCGTTTACGGGTGGGCCAGGTGGGTTAATAGTTTTATTGTAACCCGCCGAAGACTGTCGCTGGGAAGAGGCGTGAATGGGTGGGCCGGGTAGGTTACCACGTACCCCAGCGATACACCCGCCGTCTCAATATCATCCGTTTTCTCCAGAGTAAATGGTTATATTAATTGAAAGATCGCAACCAACTGTTTTGGGGTCAGCTGGCTCCGAAAAATTACTCCGTCTGTAAATATCTCTGCGGGGGCCGAAAGGCTTGAAGTCATCGCAAATATAAATCACACGTTGCAGCGACCAACGCCTATAGATAAAAATTGGCAGTGACTGCACTCGCAATCTCACCCATCAATTCATCATCAATTCGAGCAGAAAGGCACCATAGTTTCGGTCGAGGTGGTTTAGGTCGGTACTTTTACCACAACAATGACGGCGACAGCATCATTCTGCACTCGGTGCATTTGGCAAGTTCGTTCAACGTTGATATCAACGTATAGCCAAACAATGAACGACGTGTACAACTCCCTGTAACGCCGAATAAGAGCGCAGCTCTTCTGGAGGAGGAGGGAAGGGTACTGAGGCTCACGTGTTCTTGGGGGGGGGGGGGGGGTCACGTGACCTTGGGGGGGGTCGCGTGACCGGGGAAGGGGCCGCGTGGCCATGGGGGGGGGGGGGGGGGGCGCACGGGACCTTGGGGGGTCACGAGACCTTGGGGGGGGGGGGGGTTCACGTAACCTCACGGTTACGCCGACGCCGCTCAAGCCGGAAACGGGCGCCTAAGAGCTGCGCTTTAAAAATAAAATTACGTTATATGGGAATATACTCTATATCAGAAAGGGCTCACAACCGTTTGAAATCAAATTTGCGATTAAAGGCACTATAACGTCATAATGCAACGCCATGTGGCATCATGGCTTCGCTTCGGACCGCGACATGACCCCAAGACGTTATTTTCCCGCTGGGAAACAATTGCCACATAACTTGACGTCACATGACCACGTCATGTGTTCTCAGGTCATATGACACTATGACCTCACTCTTGACGTCAACTTGTTCGCTGAACTTAGCGGGAAAATTAATAAACAATAGGTTCTTCCGTACACACCCCGAAACGACCGTTTGTTGTCTTCTAATCAAATGTTGATTATCACTTATTGAACACTGCACTACAGGCATTCATAACCACTAGACAGAAAAATTAAAAATGTTCACAACTTCCTGTAACGCCGATTTAGAGCGCAGCTCTTGAGGAGGATGAGGTGAGGGCACTGAGGGGAGGGTATGCCCCCCTTCCTCATCAGTACCCTCTCCTCGTCCCCTCCTGCTTCTTTCACGCGCGAAAACGAACGTCGTCACGCGCCGTTTCGGAACGGTGCCCAAAACGTCACTTTGCCGAAGCGTCACGGCAGTGAATTATGGGACGCTTCCCTTAATGCACTGCGCGGTAAGGCCGACGGCGACGGCGACGCCAACGCCGCTCAAGCCAAGCAATGAAACGGGTTATTTTATTATCAAAACAATGTTGTTGCTAGTAACTCCACTGCAAAAAAAAAAAAGCACAGTCATGAATCTGATTTTACTCGTTCTATATTTAAACAGAACTCTTACCGGCATGTATCGACCTGTTCGAGTCGTGTATGTAGGGGAAATGCGCAGCCGAGGAAGCCGGAGCTTTCATTCCTACCAAGCAGTCACCGCAGTGGACAGCCTGATGTGCCATGAACAAGAATAGAGGCTGTGAAATGAAGAAAACAAATCTCATGATCTGCCCTCCAGGACAATATCTCCGAGAGGTTATTCACAGTCCCATTTTTTATACGTTGCGTGACACTGCTGCGTTCTGCTTTTTATTTGAGACGTTAAGAAGCATAAAGGTTAGTTAAGGTGCCGAGTATATTTTGGGGTCTGGATACCTTTTGCTTTCGTAGCAGAGCACCACATCTGCCCCTCGTTTTTGGTCCGGGTATTGCAAGAAGCGACCGTCGCTATTGCAGCAGACGCTGTGTTGGACGGCGTACGACTTAGTAAACACCATACTTGTGATTCTTACTTCGTAAATGTAGTCAATTGCGTTTAAAGTTACTCTTATCTAAGTGTAATTAAATATTATTAATAATAACTTCTGTAAATATGTATATTATTGCCTTCTCTTGCTGTGTTTCAGACTAATTTGATGTTGTATTTCCGAAACACGACTAAACATTATGCATGCACAAATTGTATCGCAATATTTTCTTCAATATCATGCATATTCACATTACAGCGATCGTTGTAAAAACATGTATGGTAACAGGCAGATATTTAACTGATATAGCGCTAATGCACTTTCATTCTTTTTTGTTTCTTGAAAATTATAGGTTTGCGTTTATACCGGTCCCCGATATGATCAGTCCTTCTCTGGCGGAATATCTACAAAATTTCACAGAAACAACAACTTGCAGAGCAAGATTTTACAGGCCTGAGTTGAATAAGATCTAATAGAACGGAAAGATAGGTTTCTCTATTTCGACGCACGCGGTGGTGTTGGCTTTTGTCACTGGCAGTTTAAAAAGCGATGGGCGAGGTTTATTATGGTATATTTGGGACGCAAACCACATTCATAGGATGCATCAGTTTCCAAGCTTGGCTCTCTTCATGTATGCCAAGTCCCGCGTAGTTATCCAACGTGTGACGCATTCCAATGCCAATTACTACCGGTGACAGTGAGTTTCTCAAACGACGTTCCCGTAACAGATCGTTTTTTTGTCACTGCGACGTTTCATCGACAATTCGTTTCACGGAAAGGTTTCCGCGTCGGTTTCGTAGACACGCCTTGCGACGCTTTGTCGAAAATGTCTTTCCGCGCGCGTCGCCTCGGTCGACGATATCTGGGTGGTACCCGAGCTTGCCGAGGCCTCGGCGGTTCCGACGATGCCTGGTGCTAGCTCGGCCATGACATTATATTAATGGCACCTGAGCAGAGCGAGGGATAACATAATATATTATAAACTTGAGTTGAGGATTAGGGCCGGTAAATTTGTTTGTGCCCTAAAGGAGCCGTCTGGGTGAACTCGATTTATTTCCGGTATGCTTCCAGCGAACGAAATTAATTCAGTAACCAATACAATCCCCTTAGTAAAAAAAAAGGTAGCTTGTCAGCGCAACGTTGTAGAAGCATGTGTCCAACGAACGAGTTTAAACTAAAAATCGAAGTGTCGACAAAACGTGTGTCCATAAAACGTGTGTCGACGAAACGTTGTCCAAAAAACGTGTTCGCATGAAGCGTGTTTCGACGAAACAATTGAGATCCGACTACTTCAGGAATTGAGATGGATTCAGCTGGCGCACGTATTCAATGACGACGGTATGTTGTTCGGCTGCTTCGTACGTGATTCTGACTGGTCCTTCCAAATGTGCAAATAAATTTTAAATAAAAAAAAAATCTAAATTGGGACCGAATGGAGCGCGTTTCTCTTTCTTTTATCTGATTACCTTTTTATTGCGCTCCTCATTGTATATGTGGCAGTCCTGTATGTCGTATCAGGGAGTTGGGTCTTACACGGTTGAACGGACTGAACATACGGTCTTAGTTTCCGCAACTTGTTTACAGATTCATAAAAGTAGGGAGTAGTTAGAAAGTAATTCATGGCAAAATATTTACATGTTACAAATTATTCTCGCCAAATTGCAAATTGACAACTACGCCATTTTTTAAAGAAGTAATTATTGACCAGTAATTCGCTACTTGTAATGGCTGAATTGAGCACCGCCATGAAGGTGTAGATTGTTCGAGAAAAAAAAAGAAGAAAAAAAAAAAAGAAGCCACAGCAGCCGACGCGAGGGCACATGCACGCACCAGGGCTGGGCAGTATCGCGATACAAATGTATCGCGATAGTATCTTAGAGATACTTTCAAATATCTCTATCTCTATATCAAGATACATTCGAAAAATGTATTTGCATCTGAGTATTAAATTACATTTAAGGTGTATCGCTTGTATTGCGATACCCTGCCATACTTAGGTATCTCGTTACATTTGCTGTCCTTTTTAAGATAAATTCAAAGTATAAAAACATTAATTGGATGCAAGTTGTTTCTTAATTTATAATATAAACCCGCCTTATAACATAATCCATCTCAATCACCAACATAAAAAAACTGTGGTTTAAAAAATTACGGGCAAGAATAACAAAAAAAGCTCCACTCACAAAGCCCTCCAGTCTTTCCAGTTTTACAAATAACTCCCTAAAAGAGTTGAGTGAAGAAAAATCACGGTCCTGTTGTACAATCTTCCTGCACAATGGGCGACTCAGAAGCGTATAATACGACAGTTTGTGTTGCGCCCTCACAACAAAACCGGGGTCATTTCGGACAGACGCCTTTTTCAAGCATGGTACGCAGTCTTTACCTTTCTGTAAAAGAGTTATTTTTCACGGGCTCAATATTTCGCGATTTAGGTCAAGCCTGAAGTTCTAGAATTATTCGAGGGCTCTAATTTTCGCGACGCTGTGGGATCTCAATATAGATTCCAATGTGTTTAGATGTTACCGGAATTGTTAGCGGGACCTATTTATCGCGAATTGTAGGCGATTGGCGAAAATTAAGTTGTTTATAGTATTCAGTTCAACGGATATCACATGTTTTTTTGTTCTTTTTTTTAGCGGCATTAACGATAAATAGAGAGTTCGAGGTAAGGGGAACAGCATAAAATTATACAAAAAAGGAGCACAAGCATAAATTACCATTCATATTCGCCACGAACTACACCGTTCCCACCTAGGACCGTTCGGAAACAAATGTATTTCTATAAGTATCTGTATCTGTATTCCGGAATACTTTTTCGCTGGTTTCGCAGAAGTATCTCAGAGATTTCCCGTTACACAAAACACAAATCTATCTCAGTATTTGTATTTTGGGCGTTAAAATACACGTATTTCAGTATTTGCACTACCGAATACTTTTTAGAGTGTCTCTGCCCAGCCCTGCTGGGAACCCTTGGCATGGGACCAAACACGACTCGGTGAAAAAGAACAATTCGATACCTGCGTCCCCACCAGCCAATTAATGGCCCGGGCGAACGTCTGAAGGCCCGTGAAGGCAACAACTAAGCTGCCGCAGAGACACAACACACACCGAGCCCTTTGTTCGAGCATCTTCGCGCCCACCATCCTCAAGGCTGCGGTCGGTAGCATCACCAGTGCAGCAACTCGTGAGAAGGTCTCTCATGACTAAACCTGACATTTGAATTCATATAACGTGCGCTTTTCAACGCTTATTTATTAAGTCGTTTTATAAATACGACGTTTCACCTACATCAATCAATCCGGAATCCCGAGTTCCTTTTTTTTTTTAAATTCTTACCGTCACAACCGCATAGCGCCCTTCTCCTTCAGTAATGCGCACGTGCACTGAGTAGTCTTCCCCTGCTTGTTAATCAGCGCGATACCTCGTGTTTATCATACATCACTTTAAGATCTACCGGGTACGATAAAGAAAGTAATACCTAATTTATTTGTTTTACCCGCTTAAGAAAACTTCGAATCGCAGAAAGCTGTGGATGCAACGTCCGCGGCGAATACAGAATGCGGAAGTTTGAAGACATACCGTCATCTTGATCAAACGATAAAACAGTAAACCGATTTTTTTGCATGTGCCGACGCCCACCTGGGATGAATATCTGTCAAACCAGTTAATGGCATCGTGGACGGCTGTGGCACAAGAAATACAAAATTGTCTTTCTCGCGCCAAGATTTTTGTCTTTTTTTTTTTTTTTAACAGATGTAGATTTTCAGACGGCCAAGATGCAATATCTCGTTTGACAAATTTTAGGCTGAGGAGGGACGTCGGCGAATGGAAACACGTCATTTGTCTGTTTCATCTCTTGATCATGGGAATGTCATGTTCTCAAACATTTGGTGTGTATCCTAACCATTAGCGTCGAATTCGATCAAAGTTCGAGCTTTTCGTTGCACATTTTTTTTTTTTGTAGATGAGAGGGCACAAAAGGGCATCACTATTTCAGTCGGACCTTGTTGATTTCGCGGACGTACAAAGCGAAACATATGTTCCGCCCCCGTATTTGGCGCTCTACACTGCTGCTTCCCCTAAGCGCGTTAGTACTTCCTGAGCCATTCTCCGCCAATGAGGAGCTCGCACTGAAAATAAAAACGAAGGCGCAACGTTTGCTTCGCGATTTGGTCCCTCTCCTTCTAAAAAGTTCTCATAAAAAATGTAGATTGATCACCTTGTTTACATCGTGATCCTTGATAAGAGAAAGAGCTCTTTCTGTGAATAACCTCGTAGAGTAGTGGCCCCCTTGGTCTCGAACAGGCGTTGTGTCATTCCAAAAGTCCAGTCCCAGCTCGGTATCATTATCAACCACCTGAAATAAAAACAGTTAACCAAAGCCAAACCAAAGTGCCAAACCAATCTGCATTGTAAAAAGGGGTTTGGGAGTTCGCTTTTCTGCTGAACATGGAGGCAGCTAATTGCTACGAACACTGCAGGTGTCCTAGCGAATGGCGAAGCAAAAAATAAGACTAAAGCAAAGTTATGCGAAGCACGCAGGACCAATGAACATTACATTAAACGTTCTCATTTTCCCTGTGCATATTGGCGTTTGCAGGTTTAATCCACGACAAAACTAGATTCGCGCATTCTTCTTTTATACAGTCTGATTTGTAGCATGAGGGGGGGGGAGGGGGGGTTGGGTTTGGATTTAGCTATTTTCGCTGTTTCATCCTGCTGCCCAATGGGTTATGTACCGCGTGGCTCAAGGGTTTCCCGTTCTGTTCCCGTATTGCAAATTCGACATTGTGTAAGGCTTCTTGCGTGCCTGTCCGCCAGCTGCCCAGTGATGAATCGCTAAGAACCGCGGGAGAGAAGATGATACCAAGGGAGATCCTTGTGACGATAAATCACCATCTACGATTCTGTGAAGCAGGCACTCTGAACAGGAGGATAAGGTACCGGGATATACCGCATAAAGAAGCTAGTCCCTAAAGACGTGCTCACGGTGTTCAATGGTTCTTCGAAAGACCTAATGCCTGCATTCAAGAAGGCCAGAAGAGAACCAGTGCATCTGCGCCGACGAGCAGAAAGCGAAATGTAAATGTGTTGGCTCCCCATGAGGATTGTGAGCAGACCGAGAAATATCGATCGATAAATGGATGGATGAATGAGTCCGGCTGAGCCCTTTGGATCGGGCGGTAGCTCGCACCACCTAGCCATTTTGTTTTACCATTTAAGCTTAGAATATTTAAACGTGAAAACTATATTCACTCCGCACTCACAAGAAAGTGAACAGCTCTCGAGCAGCGCTCCCGTACCTTTCACTGCATTGCCACACAAAGTAGTCCTCGGGTATGGTAGTGACACCTCCTACGGCCGCGCTGTGGCGCAGCTCCCGGCCACTCAGTGGAGCTTCCAGCCAACTATCTGCCAGTGCCACATCGTAACCATAGATGGTGTCGTACCTCACCGGACAGGCCACAATACACCGAGCGGGTACCCAGTCCTGCCGTGTCAAATCGTACTCTTAAAGACCGACGACCAGTTCGCGCTTTCCGCTTTTCCCTGGGTTCCTCCTCTCCCCCTTCTACCCTGTCCACCATTGCCTGTTTCCTCCTCCCCCACGGTAAGGAGGATCTTCTGCCTTGCAGAATCTCGAATCTGGTCGTCGGCCTTTAACGTCGTCGTTCACAGGGATCCTATCGTTCGTCGGAACTGGCTGCCTCCGTGTCTTACAAGAAAATGTACTGACGAACTCTTCTCTTAAGAGTGCACAGGCGTGCTCAGGAAATAATGTATCTTTTCAAACAGATGTTGCGGAACATTTACTCTGGCACCTTTTTTTTATATTTGTAACGGTTTATCAGACTGCCGCCACCGATAAAGCACAGCGATGTTGCACGTTGACACTAGCCCGAGGACGCAGCATTATGCAGAATGTGTTTACCTAAGCTCAAAGTTGGTCACACCTAACGTTACAAGAAGTAAATCAGTTGCCTGCAGCTTCCAAAAAGGCCTGGTGCATTAACGTGGCGCATCCGCTCGATCGGTGAGCCTCCAATGACATCGGCCCGCTTTACGGACAGAAGCACCGGATCCGGTAGAGCGTTGGGTGCACATTGCCTGCGGTGGGAAGTGATTTTATCCTGGCTTTTACGATTAACAACGTTTGCGCAAATGATCGACCAAGAAGAGCGCCGTTCGGAAACTGCCCTTGTCCGTTGCCCGTGGAGTTGTATCATATATGTGCGAGTGTATGCACGAACATTCCGAAACAAACTTCAAAAAGACACTGACTACACCCCAATTTTTTTTTCCTTTGCCGGGTGGTTTGGTATGGTTGTCAGAAGACTACCCAATGAAAATTTCGCTACAGCATAACGTATATTACAAGTGAGGTAAAAGAAGAAAAAAGAAAACGCAACCGCTCCAAACCAAAGCCGAAACTGGACTGGGGAGTAAAAAGAAATAAAGAGGAGGAGAGAGTTGCTAGAAGTCAGGTGGCTACACCCCACCGCCTTAACTTTCTTTTTTTTCCTTCGTTTTTTTCGGAAGGGCGAAGCAAACGCAACACGCGCACGTTGTACGAAAAACGCAAAACGCAAGCACTTAGTGCTTGACGTTTGCGCTTTTTTCGAACTCCTACCAATTCGTGTTCGTAAAACGAGCGATGTCTTCAGCCAGGAGAAGGGGCGACGACTCGGCGATGTCTTCGTGCTAATCGGCTGGGTGGTCGAGCTTGTCGTACGGAATAAATCCTAATTGTTTTGATTGGTGAAATATTTCTCTTTCGAAGCTAGACAAATTTGCCGGGACCGCGAACAGCAGTTCTGAACTAGAGGTTCCACGCCCTTAGTCCTCCGCTATCGCCTAGTGGGATTTGTGCAGCCGCCCAGCCCGCAGCTCCCGCGATACGACGCCATGTTGAGAATTACGCAGAGAATGCACACAGAGCTGCCCGTTCTCCAAGTTACGTTTTTTTTTTTTGTTTTTTTTTTTTTTAGTTTACTCATTTGCATTTTTTTTAGAAGCCAAAACAAAATCATTTCCTATTTTTTTTATTTTCTTTTTAATTGAGTCTGCGACTTCGATGACCTTCGACTTTGATTATATTTAGTGTGTATATTTGGTGAGAACGGCACGGAACCACGGAGAAGAGAGTGAGCGCGAGTTAAACCGGCCAGTTCTCGATCGACCGATATTTAGGCGAAAAAAAAAAAAAAAAAAAAAAAAAACGAACTTTGAGCCGTGTGTTCTGGGTAGTTCTGCTCTCATGTGTCATATACAAATAAAAACGTTTGCGAGCAAAAATAATTCCCTGTCAGTGACCTCTTAAGAACCTGCACATAGGTATATATATACAGTCTTTTCTTAATATTTTAAACCTTTCAGATTTTTTTCAAGAAAGCCATGAAAGCTACACTAATGCGATAATAGCAGGTGAGTTATACGGCCTACAGGACCTAGTATAGGGCGATAGTCGCCACAATTAGTCGGCTAATTATGTAAAATATTTAATTAGTGTAAATAGACATATACTAGTTCCAATTAGAAACTTGCTGAGCATCATCGAAAACCACTAAATCGAATATTATTAGAAGAATATGATGACGAGTCAGCATTTTACGGCGTTCGGTAAAAACGCTTCACTTGGACAAGTTTCTAGATTTCGGTTTCTTATCGGAGCGCACCTTCGCGCCCGCGGTCCTGCTCCCCGGTGGTCGCGGCGTGAAGCCACCCCTCGCCTCCCTCGAAGAATGCAGGGAAAATGGTCGCAGGTGTGACAAGCGCGTCTCAGCCACTTGGGAGCAGGACCGCGGGCGCGGTGATGCGCTCCGATAAGAAACCGAAATCTAGAAACGCGTCCAAATCTAGCGTTTTTACAGAACGCCGTAAAATGCTGCCCCGGCAGTATGTCTTTCTAGAAAGAGTTAATTTAGTGGTTTGCGATGATGCTCAACAAGTTTCTAATTGGAACGATATGTCTGGTTGCAATAATTAAAAAGTTAATTGACATATTTTACTTAATTAGCCTACTGATAGTGGCAACTATCTCCCTATACTATGGCCCCCTGGCCGAATAACTCACCTGCACAAACCGCAGACATTTCGAACGGGTACCGCTCGAAATGTCGTAATAAACTTCGTATTAGTAACTCCGCCAGTACGCATCTTTGAACTCTCTCTCCCTCTCTCTCTCTCTCTATATATATATATATATATATATATATATATATATCGTAATGAGCGGTCCCCGCTCAAAACGTCGTAATAAATTATATATGTCTGTGTGTATGTGTGCATGTCCTTGAAGGGTCACTGACCGTGTATTTATGCTCGCAAAGGTTTTTATGTAAGGACTGCGTGAAAAACAAATTCTGCATAATTTATTGTTCAATATGTCGGATTGAAATTATATTGTTCTCACCCTGACGCTGTTGCGCTATTAATATTTTTTTTTGACAGTGCCAAGGTACAACAAATTTTAAAAGGGCAACGTCCCAAAACATTTTCTTTTTTTTTAGGTTTGGACAGGAGACATGTGTAAAGTAATAAAATCGTCGTCTTTTTTTTTTTTTTAAACAAGCTGTTTAGTGCAATATTTTCGTCGCTTGACACATTTCGAGTTACAAACAATTTTAATATTGTGGCGCGTCAACCATTAATAACAATATGTTTCGGGATTGCTTCTACCGACACAGAAGCTCCCAAAGTGTATCTTTGAAGCGCCTGAATCGCAGACGTACGTAAAATATATTCTTTCCCCGATAAAAAGAATCTCGCAATATTTAGGCCGTAGAACTCGATTGAAGTAAGAAGTGGTTCTGAAACGCGATTTTATATTTCCACATACTCCTCAAATAGACGCAGCAAATAAAAACACATCGCGATACTAAAAATAAGTTTCGCGACCAAAGTATATTACATACAATATATCATTTCTTGCAAAATTGTATTTTGTGACATACGGGCTCTATTGAGGCACTTTGAAAATAACGTTTTCGTTTAAGTTTAGCGTCGCTTTAATATAGGAATAGCAAATGGTGTAAAGCTAGTCCTGGTCCCACACGTTGTGTTTTGACTTTGAGACGTTTATCCCATATTTTTCAATCAGTTTTTCGTTCTTGTCTTTTTTACATTTATTGTAAGGCAGGTTTTGCATCAAGTTCTAGTGAGTGTGCTCACCATAGAAAATTTGTGGCTGTAATAGTCTTCACCACCGTTGTAGTAGCCATAGAAAGAATCAAATCCCCGGTAAGTCGGCGTGTAACTTTCCTTGTAATAACCTATGCCCCACTGCAAAGCAAGAAGAAAAATAAATTAAGGCTCCAATCCAAGCTGTGAAGGTGGTTAGACAGCGAAGCTGTGGTATCACCTGCAACGATTCCCCACTGCACTACAGGGTGAAACAAGGAGACGCCGGGCTCCTTAAATCGACCAGAAAATTCGGTTTCTTAACCTATCGTGCTACAACTTTGTGCAGCGTTGCCCACAGATGGTGCATTGTTTCTCTAAAATTTGCAAACACCGAACTTACCTGGGGAAAAAGTAAAGAAAGAAAAAGGCTTAGCTCCTATGGAAACGCAGCGACGCCACCGGTCTGCAAACAACACGGCGTCGTTTCGCACGGGAGACAAGAGATGGCGCAACAAACGCCGCCAACGAACGAGCATATATACGGCGCCGAAAGCAGGCCTTTTTAGCAGACGATCTTTTCGACTCAAAAGCGGCGCGCGTTCCGCAGGCGGCGACAGTCGCAGAAACAAAAAAGACAGGCGCGGTAACAGCAAGGAACTGCAGTTCCTTGTCTGCTAAAGGGCCGCCTCTCGGCGTCGTCTGCTCGTTCGTTGGCGGCAGTTGGCGTCGCGACCGTTTGCGCCATCTCTTGTCTCCCGTGCGAAACGGCGCCGTGTTGTTTGCAGACCGGTGGCGTCGCTGCGTTTCCATAGGAGCTAAGCCTTTTTCTTTCTTTACTTTTTCCTGAGGTAAGTTCGCTCTTTGCAAATTTTAGAGAAAAAATGCACCATCTGTGGGCAACGCTGCACAAAGTCGTAGCGCGATAGGTTAAGAAACCGAATTTTCCGGTCGATTTAAAGAGTCTGGCGTCTCCTTGTTTCACCCTGTATAGACTCTTTTGATGTTAAACGCCACTAGTCGGTGCTCCAGCCTTTAAAGCAGCTGTGCAACGATTTTAACGCTGAAAGTACTTGCATCTTCTACTTTTGACATTGTTTATAATGTAACAAAGGACAGAAAACACATCTGCTCCCTTCAAAATGTTTCGATTCCGCCACGTAATCGCAAAGCAAAAGTTAGAATATTTCCCGACGTGCAGCCGCGAGCGGCGGCCATGGGAACCACGCGGCATGACATCAGTAGGGTACGTGTAAAAATATAGGAAATTGTACAAATAGCTACTCCAGAAAAGGAAATTATTCTATAAATCTTGTCGTTCCAGCCTAAATATAAATGCACCAAAAACCTGGTATCATCCACAAAACGTTTATTATACGGTGTTTTAGTGGCGCCATCTACCTGAGGTCAACAAAACCGTCGTCTCTACCTGCTACCGCGAACAGCCGCCAGAATCCGGAGGGGAAGGGGGACAGGGCCGGACGATATAGGCCGGACCCGGATGAAACTTTCCACCTTTCACCATGTTGATCGCGCTGCGCAAGCACGTGGTATACGTGGTCGCGAGCGGGTGAGTTCTGGCTGCTCACTGGTGGCTCTGGAGAGAGAGCTTCACCGGAACCCCGCGCGTCCCCCTTTCACGTCACTGCGCACGTGACTCGGAAGATAATAAAGGAGTTGAGAGGTGACGAACACCTCAATATTTGTCCATTTTTAAAATAAAAACTAGGACATGCGGACAAAAGCGGTTTTTTGCTCTTTACTTCACAAAGGTCGAGCCAGCGACTCCCAAATTATTTAACCGTTGCACAGCTCCTTTCGCGTTCCAGGGAACTTCCGGTTTATAAAAAGAATGAACAGAAGCCTCCTTAACACCTCTACTTGAAGTGTAGATTAAACGTTTAACCACCAATTCTTCAGGCGAACGCCAAAAGAACGAAGGAGTGCGAGATCTGTTAAAATGTATTGAATATTCTTGTAAACCAACTTTCCTCCTCCAAAATGTAATATTGTACAGCCGAAGGCCCTCGTTAAATCTTCAACTTTGGTATCCCTGTAGCATTTATGCTTTCTAGCACTGATGATATAAGCAAGCTCGATAGGCTTGCAAAGACCGTGCGACCGGAAGTCGTTTGGGACGCCCAAGCGGCAGTTCATATTTCTAAACAGCAAAAGGGTCTGTACCAAACGATCGACGAAAGAAAGGTGAATGCACTGTACCAAATTTTCTTCGAAATCAAAAGACTTCGTAAGTTGCCGTTGCCGCGGCAGCTTATGCAACTGCAATCTTTACCGAGTAGCAGGGAGCGCTACGTGATTATCATCGTTCGAGAGCGCCTTATCATCTATCGCGTGTTTTTACACGTGTTTTTTTTTTTTGTTTTGTTTTGTTTCCTTATTGAAACAAACGTGGAAACCACATGACAAATGATAAGGCTTGAGCGAACGGTGACCAGGCGAGTACGATGATTTTCTGTCGACAGACACAAAAAAACCCGATCTACAAATCATATACAGCGTAGCTGTAAAACAAAACAAAACAAAACAAAAAAAAAACGAATTGTATGTTGCTATTTTTGCAATCGTTCTTAAAGCGCGCACACACACTATATAAAATTACCTTTCCGATAATGTGACTGGCGTAGCCGAGTTCCTTCAGGTACTCGGGCATTATCGTGAAATTGGGAGACAAGCCCCAAGGTTCCGCTTGATACACCATGTTATGCTGAAGCCCTGTGTGCAACGAGATCACTGGTTATGTTCCGTTATCGCTGCGCATCAGTCGGCCATCGTCAAATTTTGTATTACGGCAACGCCAACCGCCTTTTTATTCAAAAGTTAGGCTTGGGAATGAGTAACAGAACAAGACACAGCAAAGTTAGCTTTCCCAGAATCACGCAAAAAGGCACTTACGCTGGTGACAACTCTTAAATCTGAGCAGCGTTAATGCACCAGTAGTGCGACCACAGCGAGAAAAACAAATGCACCCTATGACACCGTATTAAACGCGAATTTCCGAAAGTAAAAATTTCCGTTACGAAGTTAAAGAGGCGCGTAGTAAAGGAGGGCCTTTTGGTCGTACACACGATATATTTTACACCCTTCAGGGTGTAAACCAGGGTGCTACTGGGGCATAACACAAAAAACAGATGTTACCGCAACACACTTTATATCAATGAACGCAAAGTAACTGCGCAAACAAGCTGGTGTAAATAATCATCCCCACCAGAAACCCCGAGATTGAAGTAACAAAAAAGAGAGAACAAACCCTGAATGCTGGCGCACACCCTGAAGGTAGCATCCTGGCGATCATAGCAATCATATTGCGAACGCGGCCAAAGCTATGATCCGATGCAACTAATCAGGTCAGTACGAAACCGTACCGTCATGGCGCTCGTCACCTGCCTATTTTCACCTGCTAAACCAATCACGGACAGTTTATGGTGGCCTCATTCGGCGTTATTGTTTTGTGAGCGTGTTTTGCTCAACCAGTGATAGAACACGCACAGAGACGACGAGCATCGTGACAATACATTTTTTGGAACAACTGAATTGGGTCGATCGGATCGTAGCATTGGCTGCGATCGAACCTCATGTAAAACGCAATATATTTATATTTTTTTACGAGCAACGCGTTCAAAAGCAACACGCACCAGATACACTTGCATACACACTAAAAGGATTTGCAACCTTAAGTGTCTAAGTCTTCTACAGAAAAGCTGTACATGACTCGTTGGTCAAATACCTTCGTGTCGGCAACCACATAAAACAATTTTTAAAAAAAAAACTTCAGCGATTGGAGGGAAAAGTGCACACATTCCTTGGAATCACGCATACAGTAGGCAGGACAGCATTCGTTTCGATAAGGGTCATTCCATGTCAAGCGTCCCAGACGTTGCACTCGACCACCTCCGATTTCTAAAAAAAGAAATCCATGGCTTTGCACGGCTCTTGACCTACAATGTGGTTGGGCTTGTACAGTTTTGTTTAATTAAAATATTTAAAAAATAAATTCTTAAAAAATTTAACATTTTTGGTATTTTATTAAAAAATATATAACTGCTCCCGGGACTTAAAATAACTTTCTACCGTCTGTCCTGTAGGTATATAATCTATAAAATAAATTTAAAACCGCTCAAATAAACATCTTGCAGTAAAAAAGAATCCTGAATTTGAAATAAAAGTGCGTTTTGACGCATAACAGCCGTTTATTTCACCCTGAGGTGGTCCAAAAAGAAATGCAAAATATGGTGGGTTTGAAAGAACAATCGATGTCGTTTGATTTTGAAAGTTTAATTGGAGTAATTTGTGTTTAAGGCGAGAAAAAAAATTTTGAAGTTGAACACGCCGCGCAGCAGGCCACCTGCGAAGATAGCTGACACGATTAGGTCCAAAGAAAGAACGGAGTTTGCTGCCGCTTCCCCTTGTCCGTCTTTCCCGGTGCAAGTGACGAAACGGCGGGTATCGTGCAATAGCCAACCGGCAACGGCCAGGCGGCGCCAGTAGGGTGAGAGCGCACGGTCATACCCTGTCTCGTTGTAACTTGGCAAAGGGTAAACGATAAGCCCCACATTTCGTGCCGAAGGCTTTAAAATGCGCGACATATACGAGCGCAACGCACACATATTGGAGCATGAGGCAGCGAAAAGCCTGATACTCCTCCGGAGTTCAGGCGCGCTCCCGTGATAGGCAGTCACGTTCCGATTGGCCCACCAGGGCCGTAGCTTCCGCTCTACTGGCGCGTTACGCGACACGGCTTCCTGGGATACCCAGTATTTCTTGCTTCAGACACTATGCTAAGCGGCGCCACCAGAGTAAAAGCTCACGTTTGAACAATGTAGCCGCCACTCCCAGGGTACCCAATATTTCTTGTTTCAGTCGCTAGATGGCGCCAAACCAAACAGCACTGCAGGTTGTCTATAATCGGAGGTGCCGCTAGTGAGTAGCCATAGCAGGCCCGTTGTGCCCTTTGTACCCGAGGGCGGCGCGAAACGCGATGCCTAAACGACCGGTGACATCAAGCGACGTGGACTTCTCCATGTCATGACAAAGGTCCCACGGCCACCTCCGATTCCTAAAATAAAATTAACGGCTCTTCACCGTAATGTTTGTGGTGCCTCTCTCAAATATTTTTGACAATAAACAAAGTTTATGGGGTGATGGCTGTATCGGTATTAAGGCTGGTAACACTGATGGCCCGAGCTGAGGTGGGCTCGCGGGCATTAAAAAAACAGATAAGTCTCGTTCGAGCTGCCACGTCTACGGCCTGATTCCTAAACATGGTGTCAGAAGTGTGGTGGAACGTTCGGTCCTGCTAAGCCGATATTTCCTACTCTGCCTTCAGGTGAACATTAATTCGCCCCTGCTAGCTTGAACCTTCCTGCAGAATGGAAAGCATACTACCGCCACCAGAACACCTCGTGCTGTCGGAGAATGCCGCCGAAAACTGGAAGAAATTTTGGCAACGCATCGAGCTGTATTTCAAGGCCATGCCTACCGGAAAGCCACGAACCAAGGCGCAAGAGGCAGCGCTGCTTCTACACCTGGCGGGAGCAGGAAGACTACGACGCCATCGTGCTGAAGTTCGAAGACTACTGCACTTCAAGGCGGAATGAAACGTTCAAACGCTATGTGTTCCGCTCAAGGCAACAGCAAGAGGACGAACCTTTCGAGCAATTTCTGCGAGACGTACAGCTGAAGGCGCAAACCTGCAATTTTGGTGAGCTCAAAGATTCCTTGGTGCGAGATCAGCTGGTGTGCGGTACAGCAGTTACGAAATTAAGAACGAGGCTCCTGCAGGAGGAAGACCTCACGCGTGACAAAGCGATTGAATTCTGCAAAGCGGCAGAGTTGGCAGCACACCAAAACCGAACATGGGAGAAGAAGGACGTGAAGCTCACCGCTGTGCAGAAGCATTCAAGGGAGCAGCGTAATACTGGGACCAGACAAGCTCACTGCAGTTACTGCAATATAAGCCATGAGCCGGGAAAGTGCTCAGCCTGGGGACAGACATGCGGATTATGCAAGAAAACGAACTACTTTGCTGCATGCTGCAGGCGAGAGCCAGCGATTCAAGAAGTAAAGTGTCAGCTCCGACCATTCGAAGAACACAACCAGCAGCAATCATCCGATGCATCCGACGACGACTTTCAAATCTTGTCTGTCAACATCGGCGGTGTGTGAACTGGTCGAGACGACTGGAGAATCACGGCGCATCTCGCAGGCCCTGCGGTGCATGTGAAAGTTGACACCGAAGCCCAGGCGAATTTGTTGCCCTATTCTTCCTTCCGCAAGGTTAGTAACAAAACGGCGCCAAGCCCTTGAAAGACACTCCTTGCGAACTACGGTAGAGGAGCGATCCAAGATTTCGGAACAATCACATTCCCCTGCAGGTTGGTGAAAAGAAAGAGCCTGTCACGTTTTTCGTCGTGAAGAAAAGAAAGATTGCCTTATCAGGCCTACAGGCATGTGAGCACTTTGGACTGGTGTCACGCGTTCTTTCACTATCTGCATCCGATTAACTCAAGCAGAACGTCGTGAGCGAATTTCCTTCACTTTTTAAACGACTTGGGTATACTAAAGAAGATTACGCTTTATCTCTCAAAGAGGGATCGCGACCAGTGGCTCTGCCGCCGAGAAGGGTGCCACACACTCTTCGGGCCCTTCTACGCACTAAGTACGACCGCATGGAGGCCGAGGGCATCATCACCAAATTGGGTGAGATTGGTGAGTCCTCTTAATATTCTCAAAAAAAAAAAAAAAAGCGGACGCCTCCGCGTATGCATGGACCCACGGCACGTGAATCAGAGCTTAAGGCGCGAGCACTATGAACTGCCCGTCGAGAAGAAATGGAAGCCGAACTTTTGGGTGGCAAGGTCTTTAGCAAATTAGATGCTAACTGCGCGGATTTCACCAAATTCCATTGGATGATGCAACTTCCGAAATTTCCACCTTCAGCACGCCGTTTGGCAGATATGGCTTCTTAAGACTACCATTTGGAATTTCTTCCGCCCCGGAAGTGTTTCAGAAAACTATGAGCCGTATATTCAATGAGCTTGAGGGGACGCGTGTCTACATTGATGATGTGCTGATTTTTGGTGCTTCACAGAAAGAGCACGACAAGCGCCTACGTGCAGCACTACAGGCAGCACAAACCGCAGGTCTTACACTGAACCTTGGAAAATGTCTTTTTGGGGTTGAAAGTATACGATTTTTTGGAGATTTACTCAGCAATGAAGGCATAAAATCAGACGAAAACTTGATCAAGTGCATTACAGATTGCCGGCCCCGGCATGCTAGCAAGAATTACAACGAATGTTGGGAGCCGTAAATTACTTCGGAAAGCATTTGCCTAATGTGTCAGAGAAAACACAAGCTTTGCGTAGTCTAGTCAAGCGTGAAAGCGTTTTTGAGTGAACCAGCGTCTACGACAAAAATGGAGGAACCTGTGCAAACTGCTCGCGACAGCCCCTGTACTAGCTATCTTTGACCCCTCAGAGAAAACAAAGATATCGACAGACGCATCAAGTTTTGCAGTTGGTGCAGCGCTGTTGTAGCTTCACGGCAAAGACTGGCGCCTCGTTGCTTATGCATCGCGCGTACTGGCAGACAGTGAAACGCGGTATGCTCAAATAGAAAAAGAGGCTCTGGGTATAACTTCCGGCTGCGAACTTTTCCGAGACTTTATCACGGGCTAACAAGTGGTCGTAGAGGCAGATCAGCAAACATTACCG